CAACATGGCTCCGTGTGACTTTTGGCTATTTCCCAAGCTGAAAATGCCGCTGAAAGGAACCCGATTTGAGTCAAGAGAAGACATCATGTGGAATGCGACGGCCCAGCTGATCACCATTCCAAAAGACGCGTTCCAGAAGTGTTTCCAACAATGGCGGAAGCGCTGGGAGAAGTGTGTGCATTACCAAGGAGACTACTTTGAAGGGGATTAGGGTTTTGTACCTCCAAATCAATAAATTTATTTCTGCTGACCAAAGGTTCAATACTTTTTGAACACACCATGTACAGTTGGAACCTAGTCGCCATACGATACAGACAAAAGACAGTTGAGATCCAGCCACAGCTAAGGATAGTTGAGACGTCACATTGAAGTATTAGGCCATTAGTCAAGTGACACTACAAGTGATAATAAATGTACGGTGTGTAAGATTAAGTGTCCAATAAAGATTCGCTAAATCCGAGTCCCACGTGAAGTTATTTGTCGCGTGACCTATCCAACAAGTGACAATATCATTGCATAGGAAAATGACTGGATCTCACAAGAGTTACACCAACTGAGAGCTTGAAGAAAAAAGAAATAAATCACTCTGACTGGTTAGAGAAATAATATGCATGTAGGATGGATGGATGGATGAATGAATGAATGTATGAGGGGTAGGCCTTCTCAGCCCTTGCACCGCGACCTACAGTGGTCTATTGTGCTTCCCTTTTTGATTATACCCTCAGCAATCCTGCGCTTCATTTGAAGCGCAGGATTTTGCATTTAGGATAGCGTGACTGTATTTAAATTGTTGTGGTGATCAAACATGTATACTTCAAAAGGCTTGCCAAAGTTATGGCATAAAACAACATACATTTTTCTTTATACTGTCATCATTCTCATTTTCCCGACTTTACACTGATCAACGATGGTCCCTTCAGAAGTGTAAGATTAAAGTTCTTCAGTGTAGTCGAACTCCTGGTGTCAAAATATTTAAAATTATTTTTAATAAAAAGCATTATATGTGTTCTAGCAACTTGATAACTCACCATTTGAATCATCTGTATTGCCATTTGCTCTATCAAACATGTGTGAATGTTGAGCATTCTCAGCATGATGTGAAGAACCCACAGCTTTCCTAGAAAGATATTCAGGTTCACGTATTTAACACAAATTAAAATAACATCAATACAGATTAACAAAATATATACTCTAATAACATTATTTTATCTGAAAAATAATCAATATACTATTCAATAAATAACAAAAAAAAAAAAAAAAAAAAAAAANAAAAAAAAAAAAAAAAAAAAATCCAAGATCATAGGACAAGCAAAAATCACGTGACAGGTTATACATATTTTGTGGGCTTTGAGGGGCATCTGCTTCTGAGACTATTTGTGCCTATTTAAAAGAGGAAACCAAAAATTAATGATGCAACAATGACAAAAACCACAGTTTCACTGTGGGACATGAGGCAACACAGTCCTGCAAGAACACCCAGCTGCCTGAGGAACCTGATCCCCCACCCACAGGGCAGCCTTCCATTCCAAACATAAAGGGAAGCACGCAACCTCATAATATATGCTTGCACCACCAGGCTACTTGGCACGCTGTCCCATAACACTGTCATCTGAATATTATCTGCCATGTGACAGACAAGAATAAAACACTATAGCATGTAGACCCATTGCTAGGAAAGGACGGTGAAAGAAACAATGAAACGCCTATTGCTAGGCAGCAGATTCTTAGTAATTTTTTTTATTACTAGTGGGGTGGGACTAAGTTCCTTGTACTGCGGCCACTTCTGGCCTATTGTACCAGTCCCAGATAACAGGAGAGGGTGATTATGGAGCAATTGGTGGAATGAAGATTGGCAGGGGAAACCAAAGTACTCGGAGAAAACCTGCCCCAGCACCACTTTGTCCACCACAAATCCCACTTGACCAGAACCAGAATCGAATCCGGGCCACCACGGTGGGAAGCCAGCGACTAACTGCTGGAGCTATGGCGCAGCCTTGATTCTTATTAAGTATATGTCTGATTGTAAATGTATCTGACATTAAAAAAAAAGGCTAAAATATACGTGGGGCAATCCAAAAGTTACCAAAATTTGAATTTTGTGTGCGAATGGTTATGAGTACATCGAAATACCGCTAGGTGTCTCCTCACACGTCCTTCTTGAATCAGTGTGGCAAGTGGCGTTGAGTTGAGTGGTTGGGTTTATTGTTGGTGAACGTATTTCCATTGTTGTGTTTCCGTGAGTTTGTGGTTTCGCGATGGCTGACCTGAGAGAGCAGCGTGTCCATATAAAGTTTTGTTTCAAACTTGGGAAAACTGCTGCAGAAACGCACCAAATGTTGAAGCAAGCTTTTGGTGAAAACAGTTTAGGCCAGACACAAACTTACAACTGGTATAAGCGTTTTAAAAATGGCCAAACATTGACTGATGATGACGATCGTTTGGGACGGCCGTCAATGGGCAAAACACCAGAAAAGTTAGGGATCTGATTCTGCAAGATTGTAGACTGACTATCCAAGACCTCTGTAACACCTTGGGACTAAGTTATGGTACATGTCAACGAATTTTGTCAGAGGAACTGAACACAAGGAGGATTACGGCGACGTTTGTGCCACGACTGCTGCAAAATGAACAGAAGCAGCATCGCTTGGAAGTCTGCAGGGAACTTCAGCAACAGCTTCAAGAGGACCCAAAGTTTCTTTCAAAGGTTGTCACTGGTGATGAAAGTTGGGTTTATGGCTACAACCCTGAAAGCAAGCAGCAATCGTCGCAATGGAACAGCCCTTCTTCACCTCGGCCAAAAAAAGCTCGACAAGTCAAGAGCAACATTAAGTCCATGTTGACCTGTTTTTTTGATATTGACGGGATTGTTCATAAGGAGTTCGTCCCTCCTGGTCAGACAGTCAATAGAATTCTNGCCAGACTTAGCTCCATGCGACTTATTTCTCTTCCCCAAGATGAAAATCAAGTTGAAGGGGCGAAGATTTGATACAGTTGAGGAAATTCAAGTGGATACGCAGACGGTACTAAACACCCTAACAAAGAAAGACTTCCAGGATGCATTTGAAAAGTGGCAGAAACGCTGGGATCGGTGTATGCGCTCCCAAGGGGACTACTTTGAAGGTGATGGTGCAGAATAAGATCTAGGTAAGATGTAATAGTTTTTATTAATATATTTCGGGAACTTTTGGATTGCACCACGTACTTAAAATATACTCAAAAAAGGTGTTAAGAATGGCCAAGCTAAACAAGAACCTTCTTTATGATATGCATCCTGTTGTGTGACATGATATTGCAAATTAGGCCGTCTACTCCACAACAATATCTACGAATGTAATCAAAGACAAATTTATACCAATGTAATCACCATTCATTTATTGTGCAAAGGTGTTCTGCTACATGTTTCGACCTCCAAGAGGTCATCATCAGTGTACTTACAAGAATTCAGTCTTAGTTCTTGAACTGTATTTTAATACGGATCCATATTATTATAATTTGTTTTATTTTGATAGCAAATACTACCTTACTGTTATTTGCTTAGTGGGGGGTGGAGTCCAACTGGGTCCACTCAGCATGGCAGCCACTGATTGGCCTATTGTAGCCTGCCCCGGGTGATTACGATGATGGAGAAGTTGGTGGAATGATGATTGGCAGGGGAAACCGTAGTACTCTGAGAAAACCCGCCCCAGTGTCACTTTGTCCACCACAAATCCCACCTGACCAGACCAGGATCGAACCTGGGCTGACCTTACTGTTAAATATGTCTGATAAATACACACTAAAAATGCTCTAATAATATAGTTTTTAATTCTGTTCAAATATTAAGACTGGTAACTTTTTATATAGTTTGGGTTTTAACATTACATAGTTATTGATGTAGTTTGGTCCTGGAAGATCAAAATTAAAATTTATTTATTTTTTCAAATTTTCAAATTAACTACTCAAGTTACACTTGAGACATGGAGTTGGTTCTAAGATAAGCTTAAAGTTAGGAGTACTTTTAGGGGTATCAAGTTTTGTCATAGTTATAAGTTGAAGGTTGACGCAATGTAAGGGGACCCTTCAAAGAATCTCTGCACTGTTGATTTGCTTCTTTCGTTGTGTAAGAGTCGCTCGGCAGTTTCCTGTTGTGTCATTCTCAAGTAGTTTTGTTCTTGTAAGTAGACAGTATAATGAAGAAAGCAGTCTTCTGGGATTTGGCACCGTGTATATGTGGTGTTAACCGACGTTTCGGAGGAACGTATCGCCTCCATCTTCAGGGTAGAAGAAAAAGTATAAGAAATCTGCAAGTGACAAGACCGTGAGAACGGTAAAAGCAGACGTCAGTCTGCTGATGTCTGCTTTTACCGTTCTCACGGTCTTGTCGCTTGCAGATTTCTTATACTTTTTCTTCTACCCTGAAGATGGAGGCGATACGTTCCTCCGAAACGTCGGTTAACACCACATATACACGGTGCCAAATCCCAGAAGACTGCTTTCTTCATAGTCACCGCCGTGAAAGCCTCAAATCTTACAGACAGTATAATCCTTAAATTTATGTGTATGTGAAGAGATACCTGTTGTAGTGTTGTTCACGATGCAGTTCTGCCTAGACTTATTAGTAATTGGAGCCCTGCCATGGATGTCAGATTTGTGAAGCTCACGTTGGACAGTTTTTGTGGAAACAGGGGTTTCAAGATGAACATTCAGTTCTGCTGTCACTATGCTGCAGTAGTTTTGTAATTTTTCGAAACAATCCTTCTCATTGTACAACAATCTTTTTTCTGTCAACGCTGATTTTTGCCCACTGTTCATCATCACTGATGATTCTGCATTAGGCAGTATATTAGTAATAAAGCTGTGACTGCATGAAGAGAGGAAGAGGATGCTAACCAATAGGGAGTGTGACTACATGCGATGAAAAATGTTTTGGAGTAAGGTGAACATGAAATGAGGTGATGACAAATGTTTCTGTGAATAGGAAAGAGTTCAGTGGCTGCTGAATGAAGGTGGTTCACTAATAGGTTTGGAGATGAAGAAGTGGAGCCAGGCTTTACAGAATCTATATTTGTCTTCATGGTTGAAGATTTTGGGGTGCCCTTATTATTTTGATGGCAGGTCTGGATGTTGGCTCTGACCTCTCCTTTACTCAAGATAGTGCTGTGTTTTGTCCGTGTGGAGTGCTGGCAACCAACGATCACTGGCACAATGTATGTATTATGAAATTACTATAAATTCCTTCATAAAACTCCTGCATTTTTTACACATACAATGAGATAACTGCAAATACATTACTGTTTCATTTTTGGAGCAATTTATATACCTCCATGTTCTAAAATTTTGTTATAACATATTTCCACTGTAATAATCACACTACTAACTTGCTACTAACCTTTGTAGTTCAGTCACACTTTCTTCATCAGCATCACTAGTTGTTTCATGAAGGTTAATGATAGGGACTTTTTCATCATAATTTTCAAAAATCTTCCTTAAATTGGCCACTTCCTTTTTTCTGTCTTTCACAGATGGGAGAGCTGAAAAGGAAAAATACAGTTACCATGCTTTAACATACATTAAATCATATATATAATTTTATATACAGTGAACCTGTGGTAAAACAAATATGTGGTTTTCATTAAACTGACAAAAACAACTGGAACCACCATTTCTTAATGTTGTACATATGAACAACCACTACATAAAATGAGGGCTTCTTCTTCAGCACATTCCTCATAACAAGTCATTCCCATCTGGCCACCGCTCTTTTCCCACAACTTTTTGCATCAACTGTACATGTACATGAAGTTTTGCTTCCAAAGTTATTTAGGGTTATCAGCCCCAAAAGATCTCAGCTATCCACCCTCTGTCCTATGTTGCATTAGAAATCTGTGTACAGCTTACCCCTTCCAAGATTTAACTATTTAGAAATGTGTATCATAGGATGTCCCTTGAAATGTACAGTATCTTCCCCTCCTTATCACACAGGTTTCCCCTTCTCCTGAGCTTTGGCTGACCTAGGTGTGATGTCACAGAACAGAACTATGCAGACATGTGCACTGTCACATCAAACATCTATGTTCCAATTTGTACCAATTGCAAAATTTTGAAAAACTCTTAATTATTGGCAACAAAACAGAGAGCTTAGACTTAAATATGAAAGTTAAAATAAGTCAGCAACTCATCAAAAAGTGAAACAGGAAAGTTGTTAAGATTCAACTTCTTCAACATTCTTCATAATACTGAAGAACAAAGAGAAAATACAGTATATACTAAACATAAACAGATTAGCACACTCTTCATTTCTTTCATGGGTACATATCATGTTCCATGATCTCACTTTGTGACTGCATAAAGAACATAATGAGACGTACTACCCATGTAACATCACAGGTATGGGCACTACAGATTCATATGGATCTTACGCAAGTGCCTTATAAAGAGGGTCATTTCACTAAGAGTGTGGCAACATAAATGTGTCATTTGATGGGAAAATAAATAATTATGGAGTCATGTACAGTTTACATGCCATTACTGTAACATGCATCTTAGTTGAGTATGATGGCTGATTCACAACCACCATCTGCATATGTAACAACAAAGCTAGCATGTAATCTGATCAAGGCATTTAGAACCAGTGACAGTGTATGTATCAGTGTGATATAAACCACTTCATATGTTGATGTGCTTACTCTCATGTGTATGCATGTGCCCAAAATTAAGGGCAGAAGGTTAGTGGGACTTGTCAGTGGAATATGAGGATAAGCACTTGCGGGCATGCAGCAAACAGTGGGCAGGAGATTTTTCTTGTAAAGGACAGTTCCAAATCAGATGTTAGATGCAAGCAGATGTTGGGAAGATCTTCAACTCTTCAGTTCAGAAAATGAAGACGGTGATGAAAGAGCTAAATTACTTGTTCCTTTCTTGCTTCTAGGATAATCACGTCAAACCTGAGGCTGAAGACAAAAGTTACTTGTGAAGTGTATTAGCTCATTTATTCACTGTGAAAGTTTAAAATCTTACTTCAAAGAAGAAAAGAAAACACTGTCAGATCCAAATTATTACTTAAACCTAAGCACCATACTGTATTATATGTAACTGGAAGTTAGGGGATAGACTTCATGTATCCATTATGACAAATATTTTTAGGAATTTTATAGATTTTTGTAATATTGAAGATCCACTTCATACAAAATTTGGAAACAAATACTGCATCTTAGAAACCCATAAAAAATTATGCCCAATGATTAATTCACAAGTTACTGATAAACAGCAGGAAATGCAGATGTGACAATGACATAAACAACTCTGAATACAAGTACTTAATTTCCTGATGCTGACAAAGAAAAGTTGGTGCACACGGCACATAATTACGTCAGTGTAGGATCTCAGGTTCTAGCAGCTCTATTTATGAACAGTTCTATCTTCCTGGATATAATGTCATGTAGTCCGTTGAAAGTCAACTGACACTTCGAAGAAAGATGTCATAGGGTCTGCTTGTTACCTGCTTCATGCTGGTTTCTTGCTTGGCTTATTCTTCAACCCTGAAGATGGGGGTGAAGACTTCTTCTGAAACGTTGGTTTGTCTTTCAATGCATTACACAGCATTATATCCCAGATGATAGATCTCTTCATAATTATGTCAATGGTGACTACTTGTTTGTTTACTGAAATTTATCTGCTTTAAAACACTGAATGACAGAATAAGGAATAATAATAAATTATAATAGATACAGAATGAAAGAGTTTTGGCTTATTTTAAGGTATTAGTCCAGTATTTGCCAGAGAAATGGAAGAAACTATTGCAACATCAGTCAGGACAGTCAGTTGACATAACAAAATCGAAACTTGGGACCTTCCAAATAGAAAGCAACATTGAGCCCTGATATTTGCCCCCCCCCCACCTCTAAATGGTGTTGAGAAATATTATATATTTGCTACTGATGTTTACCACTAAAAAGAACAGTATGCAATATACCAAATCAAGCATACAAACCTTATGAACCAAAATATATATGTAAGTAAGATAAAGTTGTCTCAGTGCTTAAATAATTGAGCACTAAGCCATGGGCTTATGGTGTATGGGTGAGTGGATGTATAGATCCACGTTTTTTGATCTCAGCACTAGTTGGCCAGCTTCATGTCCCACTTGCTTTAACAACCACCGTACATACTAGATAGGAAATTGGGTGGGCCCCAGAACTGATCTGGACAACATAGAGGACAAAAAATTCTTGACCCTACTAGGAACTGAACTCCAACCAATCATTCAGCTTGTAGCCAGTCACTATACTGACTGCACTATCCTGGCTCCCAGACATACACAGTGTGTCCAGGTTCTGTTAGGACTGTGTTCATTAAAAATATAAGACATGAATTATTTTCAAAATTTCACTCTTTTTATTCAAAATAGTCTCCTTCTGAATCAATACATGGCTGGAATCGATTGAAAAGTTTTCGAAAACAGTCACTGTACTCCTTTTGTGGAATCGCATTTAAAACATGGTACTTTCCCTTTGGATGTCCTGGATGGTGTTGTGACGGTCTCCTTTCATCGCCAAACTTAACTTTTGGGAACAACCACAAATCTGCTGGAGCCAAATCTGGCGAACAAGGAGGATGATCAAGGACTGTGATCCCTTTTCTGGCCAAAAAATCGTGCACGATCTTTGATTTGTGGGGTGGGGCATTGTTCTGGAGGAGTGACCAGGAACCTTGCTCTTGATATTCAGGTCAAATGCGAAGAATTCTCACCCACAAACGATTGAGGACACCGAGATAATAATCACAATTCACTGTTTGACCTTCTGGCAGAAATTCCTTGTGGATGATTCCTTTGGAATCGAAGAAAATGGTTACTTGATTGTTTTGCATGCACACTTTCTTTGAGCTCAACCACGCTGCACTCTGCCACTTTGTGAGAGGCTCATATTGAAAATACCATGTCTTGTCACCAGTAACAATCGATTTTGTAAATTCTGTATCACTTTGGGCGGACTGTAACATGTCTTTGCAGTGTTCCACTCTGGTATGTTTTTCATCGCCTGACAGTGCATGCAGTCAAAGTGCGCACAGACCTTCTGTTTGACCAAATCCTGGGTCAAAATTTGATGCACAGTACTTTTTGGTATTCCCAAAAACTCCTTAATGAGTCTTGCATCTGTCTGATGCAAGGATTTTGGTCACTTTTTTTACATTTTCTTCAGTGCAACTTGTTCTCACCTTTGATGCATGTGGAGCATCTTCAATGTCTTCCCCGATGTCACAAAATACAGCATACCATCGAAAAATGTTCGAGCGACTCAAACAATCACTACCGTACACACTTTTCATCATTTCGTATGATTCTCTGGCTGTTTTGCCTAACTTCAAACAAAATTTGATGTTGGCTCTCTCTTAAACCGCCATTTTCTGATGAGCGTCAGAACAGTCCTGATACATTCAAGGTCAGAACACATGATGCAGTGACGCTTGCACTTTGAAATTATAGACAACCACAACTGAAACTTCAAGAATCTTAATGCCACAACTCGCCAACAGATGGCATTGCAGGGGGGGGGGATGAGGAAGGGAGTCCTAACGGATCCTGGACACACTGTGTACATGTATGTTTAATAAATAATTTAAATGAAGGAAGAAATCCTCATTAAACAGTTTTTACTACCACATGAATATGATACCTTGTAAATTCATGTTTAAGTTTGTAATTCCTTACCTTTCAATTTCTGATATAATTTTGCACAATTGGTTAGTCTCCTCTTTTGCAGCACTTCCAGCTGTGATTGGAGCCGTGTATTCATAGCGTGAATGCATTTGATTTCATCTACAGCCTGTAAGAGTCAACCACATGACATATGATAACAAAATAGGAAGGAAAAAGCGGTTATAACGCAAATGTAATGAACCCACATGGAATTGAAGCTTTTCAAAGCTGCAGAGATGCAATTTTTAGTTATAGACACAGAATTATAGTTTGATAGTATCTGACACTGACGATGTCAGTTCTGATGGTGAACCTTAACAAAATTAATAATGCTGCAACAGTTACAGAAGTTATATACCTCGACAGAGTGATGTATAATTTCTTTTCATGATTTGAGAAAGGAATTTTAAGCCTTGTCCTACAGTGTAAACTGTGTGGTCTGCCAACTGTATTTAAATATGGCAACAGCATGAGAAAGTTCATGAGTTGGAACTTGTGGAGCAGCTGTTTAGTTTTTCACTGTTCCCACCACATGAACAGACAACGAACGACCCAACAGCTGAAACTTTCCATTTGTCAAGAAATCGCAGCTGTGCCGGAAGACACGTTGGAGAATGTGACGCAGAATTTTGAGAAGAAGCTCCAAATGTGTGTCCAGCAACGATGTCATCTGACTGACGTTATTTTCCATACGTGACGTAAGTTGAAAATGAATTAAAATACCTTAATTTTTGTGTAAATAAAAAGATTTTATGTTGAAAATCAACAGAGTTATTCTTGTGTGAAAAACATGCGTTTCCTCTGTTCCACCCTGTATATTTGTGGGGTTACTTAATAATACTTGCAGTAGTTAGTAAATATATTGTCAGATGGATGATAAATTAATGATGACCAACTGAATAAAAGTTAATTTTACATCAACACATTCAATGTGCTTTCATTTAGTAGCTATGCTATGCTGTCACACGCAAGTAACCACAAAACAAAGAATAGCCTGGATAGCAAACTACCTGCACTGAAACCGTGAATATTATTCTTATGTTATAGGGGAGTACTTTGATATTTTTTGTGCTTCGGCATTCTAAGCAGTCTCGTTCCTTCAGATTTTCCTACCAAAACTTTGTTAGCATTCCTCGTCTCTCCAAAACATGCTACATGTCCCACTCATTTCATTCTTCCTGATGTTATCACTTCAATATATTGACAGAAGTACAAATTATAAAGCTCCTTAATATCTAATTAGTATCTCCTGTTAATTTATCCCTCTTAGGTCCAGATATTCAGACTACATTTAGAATAAGCATTATCATACATTTTTTTCCCCCCTTGGCACTACAGCCCCAGTGGGCCTAGGCCTACCTCCATGAACTTCTCCGTTCACTTTGGTTTTTCTAGATCTTACACATTTGGTAGGACTCCTTGGGCGGGTGATCAGCTCGTCGCAAGGACTCTACCTGTACACAAACACAGAAAAACGCACACACACACAAACTAAACATCCATGCCCTGAGTGGGATTCGAACCCACGATCCCAGTTTCCAAGCGAGCGAAGACAGTACATGCCTTAGACCGCTCGGCTATGGTGACTGGCAGCATTATCATATACTCAGTTAAATATAGTGTAGTCATTTTTATAATCACCAGCTTTAGTATGTCAAATCTTTTGGTTTTACGATGTAGCTCTTTAGGCAGGAGTGTGGACCGAAGCACCTGGAAGGAATCGAACAGCTCCTGCCTTCTCATCTTTTCATTAGTGGCATGAGTTACAGCAGGCTTTGCCTTCTGTTCAAATACTCCTTTTTCTGTTAAAATCTGTAAGAAGTAAGAAATATTACAACTTAGTTGGATGGTTCATGAATTATTTTACAAATATGTATCAACTGCAGAGATTATTTAGGATCAGATAAAATTTCATTGCATACAGTGAATGGGGAATAAGTACGTGGTGCGTTCTGCATATAATGCCTCCTATTTTTTTGTGTTAATATGTATCGTCTGAGCTGGTGGTGTTTTAGTAAAGGTTGAACCTTCCTGCCAATGTACTGTTAATTTGGTTGTCATGCGATAGATAGCGACAGCAGAGCAATCTACCAAAATGGCGTCTGACATAGAAGTGTGCATGAAAGAGAAATGTGTTATTGAATCTCTCACTGCCGAACAAATTGTACCCACTGGCATCCACTGACACTTGCTAAAGGTGTACGGAGACAAAACAGTGAATGTCAGCACAGTGATTCGGTGGGTAGTGCGTTTCAACAGTGGTGAAAGTGAAGTGCACGACAAGCCATGCCATGGGTGTCCCTGCTCATCTTCCGCTCCTCAAAATGAAGAGCGCCTCATCCGAACAGATCAGCAGATAACGACCAGGGACTGTCAATTCTGAATGCTACAAGACGATGCTGACTAAGCTGAAAGCCCATATTTCCCGAGTCAGGCCAGAGAAGCAAACAACCTTTCGCTTGCAACACGATAACACTAGAACCCATACCAGTTTGGCGACCACCGTGCACACTGCAAAGTTTGGCTGGACTGTCCTACCACATCCACCTTATAGCCCCGATTTAGCACCTTCAGACTTCCATCTCTTTGGGCCTATGAAAGACGGACTACATGGGCAACATTTTCCAGACAACGATGCTGTCATTGCAGCTGTAAGAAAGTGGCTAGCCTCTGCTGGCGCAGACTTTTACAAGCACGGCATACAGGCTCTTGTTAATCGCTGGCAAAAATTCATAACGAATGGTGGTGATTATGATAAATGATATAAACTCCGTCTCAAGTGCAAACAATATATTTTGTGTCTTTGATCTTGCTCCCTACCTACACCACATGTTTCGGCCTCAGACGGCCATCATCAGGTGTATAACACTCACGTCGCTGTCACACTGTACCCAGTTCAAAATTTAACATCTAAAACACTCTCCCTGTCATTATCAACCTCCACCTCGTTGACAGCTGTCCACCCGTAGATTACTTCACACACGTTAATTTTGAGTTTATTGTAATAGCACCATAATAAAATCTTTAGTTCCAATTTTAAACCTTTAAATTCTTGTCCAAATTTTAAAATTTAAAAATTTTAAAATTGTCAGGGTTATTCGCCCTGTGTTTGAAGTGCTGCAGCGGCCAGTTCCTGTTTCCACACTGTATAGGTGTTATCCCGTGCAGTCTTTCTGTGTGCGTGCCGCTGCTATTCCTTACTACGTGTGGATGCTAGGAAGGTGAAGCAGTATACGGTTCCGGATAGACACCACACCCCACCCTTACAAGAACTATTACAAAGGTCCAAAAGGGCACAGTTTATGACCACCTTAGATTTAACCTCTGCATATTTACAAGTTCCGCTGCACAGAGACTCCCAGAAGTACACCGTATTCTTGTTCGATTCTACTGTGTGTCAGTACATGCGCACACCATACGGATTCCAGAATTCTCTATGCGCTTTTGTCAGAGATCCAAAGTTAGCCCTGGGGGGTGAGACTGATGAGTTCGTTGTGTTTTATGTGGACGACGTCTTGGTGTTTTCTAGGACCTTCAGACATCATCTAAGGCACTTGGATATCAAGCTAAATAAATTGGCGAGAGCAGGCTTTACTCTGAATGTGGCTTGATGCTGATTCTGTCAGAAGGAGATTAGATTTTTAGGGCACAGATTTACATAAGGGAAATGATCCTAAATTGGCTGGCAGGGTGACTGAATTCAGTTAAATTCCTTAATATCATAACTTTCTGATGTATTGTAACCAGTAAGCCTCTTGCTATTGCAGTGAGTGGCAGAACTCAGGAGGTATATGTGTATTTACATTTAAGTTTTTTGGTTTAAGCATTTGTGCGTGGAATTGGAGGAGAAACGGCAGTAAGATGAAATATTGGCGTATTCATGCTCCGTCAAAATAATCATTATTTCGCTTAGGAAGTTGTAGCTGTCCAATTTAGAGGATGGTCAATTATTTTTTTTTTGTTTTGTTTTGTATGATCAGGATTCTGTAAAATTCATCACTTTCATCTCACAATTGGATACTTCCTCCTGAGACACATAGCAGGTGGCTTGGATCAAGATTAAAGCCAGCTGCACATCAGTATCAGTCAAGTTAATGCATAACACGAGACCACTTGTTTTTTTTAGAAATTCTAAAGTCTGACAGGGGAAGTCATAATTTTAGCAGGGTCATTCTGGACTGTGCTACCCCAAATTCCAGTTTGACAGTCACACAGCAGGGGACAGAGTTCACCCCTGAACTCTGGCCGCTTGAGTATTTCTTTTTTATAATTGGAGGAGAAAAATTAAGCAACCTCCCAGCTTGCCCGGTCCAGCCAATCAAAATCTGAAGTGGGACATCCTTTGCCTGCATTTTGGGTAACCAGGGCAGATGTCTACCCTTCAGAGCATGTTTGGCTGGAGGACTCCGAAATTTACACTCATTGGGGATACACGCATTCTCCAATCACCTGCATATTCACTTGTTTGTGGTTCCTCTCAAACTAGTGTGTCTTAGGAACCAGTAACAGTGCCTAAACCTAGTAATCAATTAAGCTGATCACTACGGCACATTTATCACCTGAACAGTGCAATTCAAATAAAGACTCGAAACTACCAATTGGTGTTTGAGTGCTGACTGTCCTATGTCCGAGCCCCCCTAATCACCCAAGTCACAGCCAGTCAACATGACCTGAGAGGAGTCAGATTCTTCTGCTGGAGCTGGTACTACAAAGAGAATGGCTGCAATACCAAATCTCAAGACTGACTTCTTTCACAATTGCAATACTTTTCGCATACTGTGTACATGGGCAAGTAAAAATGAAAAACCATTTTTGGCTTCATATACAGTGGGGGTAATAATTTATCAAGGAGTCTAACATGTGCGCGAGTCAATGGGACTCTACTAAACCGGGTTTGAGTATGCCAAGGACCCTGAGAGCTATACCAGCAGTAGCGTAGCTACTGGCAGGGTCTCCCTTGCTGGACAGGTCAAAGGGTAGGTATCAGACAAAGAGAATGACCAAAAACCAAAAACCAAAAACTGTTGCTGGAATAAGCGTCATCAGCAGAGACTTGAAGAACAAAGCAAATGATGCTCGAGATGGTTCAAGTTCGTATAGCAACAGGCATGACCAGAGTGGTCTGAACAGCTGTTGTACTGCGATGTGGAAAGCAAATGGAAAAACTACCACATTATCAATTTTCCTGGATAGTCTCTTTCCAAAAACAGAGATACCATGTATGCGACCATAAGACGAGGAAAAAGACGTAAGAAGATGCTGGATGACCTTGGGGACAGAAGAGGATATTTTTATTTGAAGGAGAAAGCTCAAGATCGCATTAAGTGGAGGAACTGTTTTGGAAGAGACTGTGGACCTGTCGTATGACAGATTACTGATGAAAAAAAAAAGTACCAAAATTAAATTTGCTTAACACCTTTGAGTGTGGACCACCTATATCAAAGTTTATTAGAATTCAGGAGATGAAATATATGGTTGGACTTTAGGACATCCAAATTATGCATACATTCTGTGCACTTTGTGCAAATAATGCATAAGTACTACTGCTACAGATTACTATGAAAACAACAAAGACATTCTGTACTGAGTGTGATCTGCTGAACAATTTTCATTTCTTGGCAATGATCTAATTTGATATCACATATCTTAATATACATATATCAAAATTAGATTAATCTTCAAAGAATTTCCACTTACATGATTCCCATCCAATATTTTGCAATCAAAAAGCTGGCAAGTTTTGATATTCACAGTTGCATGTTTGATTCTCCATATGAGTTTTAAGTGCTCTGGTATAAACTGAATTCTCTTCTTCAGTTCACTGTAACATTACAATTAAGCAAAACATAAAATATCAAGCAAACAATTGCTAAATACAAAACATCAATTTATATTATGTATTTCTGTTGCTCATTTTGAATGCGGAACTTCAACTTTTGGGGTTTGGCTCTACTGTATGTTTATCATATGAGTAACTGCAGACTCCTTTTGTTCTGTCTATCCATGACGTGATGATGGATCTCTTATATGCAGGTGTATGGCACAAGGCTGCCTCTAAACAGTTATCTGTGTGAGTGAATTTCCTACAGATGGAATGTTGGGTTGTCCAAGCCATCAAGGAATTTTAACTGGCAGTCCACTTTCAGTTCCATGGAGAGCTTGATGTCAGAATACAGAGATCATGTATTTAATCAAATCTCTTGTGGTCCAGGCGACAAAGCAATGCATAGCATCCAAATATCTTCGCCAGCATGGCTTCTTCCTCAAAAGTTGTCATAAATACAGTGGCTATGAGAGGCAAGACACTGCAGTAGCACCTCTGACTTGTCGGCAGAATTCTTGCTGGTCCACGTATAATGCAGTATTGATGTGATGTTCTATTAGTGTCATGAGGTCTTGTGGGAGGCTGTATGATATTAGATCCTCCAGGATAACTGCCAACTGTGGGAACTTTGGTCATTGTCAGTGGTGGTGAGCTGATTGTGGATCTGCATGAAGTGTTGCAAACTTTCTATAGAGGGTCTCAGGGTCAGGACTGAGGTGAGAAAAGTTTTGTGTAGGTACTGGAGAGCTGGCTACAATGACTATAGGTTTTAGGCTGGATTTTAGATACGCCATAGAATGCTGGACCTCTGATATGTTTAGAGTTTTAGCAGTCTCTGGATTTCAGCTGGCATGGAGAATTGGTGTATAAGTTCCCTGGCTTGCTGTTTCACCAATACTGATTGTTGATGATCACCTTGAATATGGGATCTGCTAGGAGGGTGTTGATCTTGTCTCAGTAGTCTGAAGTGATCATGGCATTCTCCCATTGTGAACCCATGTACTGGTTCACGTTTTTCTTCCCTTAATTCAGTCTGAATGTGGCGCCATAACATATACCAAAACAGAAGAGCATAGACGTATGACATGGCTAAACTCTGAAAGCTTAAGTTACACATTATATTACATATGTGTTCAGCAAGTTTCTCTGGAATGGAAGAGTTTCGCATAGAACTACCACCAAACCTCGATTTTACACTTTCTAAGAAACCACCTAAAACAAATGTAAAACCAAAGAAAGAGTAAAATTTGGGAGATGAGAATGCTGCAACATAAGGAAAAATCCTGAATTTCTCTGTGCCATAACACTGGCAATCCTTTTAGAATATGCATGTTTCATCACACAATAAGACAGCGAATGCAAATACACTAACCTACATGCTGTGTTACTTCTTTAACTATTTACACAGACATTTGTTTTTCTTCCTGAGCATTCAGTCTGTACATCTGTTTCCCATGAAATTCAGAGCTTTCATATGCATAGATATGCTTATTTTACTATGGTAAACCTTGAACATGAGTGGAATGGTGCTGGTTCTAAATTCCCTTTTGGCTGCACTCACCTCTGCTGGTTCCGCCATGTTCTGGCTGTTTTATCATCTAACCTTACTCCATGGGTTATTCCCAGTGCTGTGATTGTAAAGTATACTATTTTTGACATTTATCTGCTGCTTTCTTGCCTTGACCTGGGAATTTGATATCTGTGTATTCAACCACACCAAGAACAAAGAAATACTGCAAAATATATTGGGTCTATGGCCTCATTTTTGTTTGCATTTTTCGTGTTTATTAATTACATGCTCATTGGGCCCTTATTTTACTGGACTGCCTTTTACTGTGATCTTACCCTTACATAAGGATTATTTTAAGTAGCGATTTTCAGAAAGTGGCAGTGTATGCACAGCAACCCCCCTTTCACCTTATGCATATCATGCCACCACCAGAAATGCTACAACTCCCTAAACAGATTAGTCCCCTTCCCCAATCACTGTATCTCCTACGATGCACCATTCCCTACTTTCCTTCCCCCCCATTGTGACAGAAACCTATCCTTGACCAACAATGATCCCTCTACCCTTAAATGACAGCAGTGCAACAAGTTAATCAACAATGAGCATGGTGAGTACTGATGGTGGTTTTTGGCGTTTTGGTCATATTTCCTGTCCACCATCCATATTCTGACCTAGACTGAGTGCAAGATCCCCTCCCCCAATGGGCCTGGTGAACCACCAACCTATATATAAACTTCAACACAAGAAGATGAAAGTCGCATGTTCCTCCAAATCTCTGGGAACACAGCTCACTTCAACATGGTGCAAATACCAAAAAGGATCAACACCAATGTTAAACTGTCATGAAAGCTTAAAATCAGTAAAATAAAAGTAGTTAATATATTTTCATCTGTACTTACTCTGTAAGCCATCTTGTAGCTGTTTCCAAGTTCTGGAAGTAGGCCTGTTCATCCATGGAAGAAAATGGATCCTTTAGCATAACAGATTTGTTATGGTACATGACTGCTTTTATGTAACCCACTCTGGGAATGGAAGGTACCAACTTGACTGATACAATAGTTTTCCCAACCGACATCACTGTTGACCCTTGTGGGTATGTTGGTCTCGCAAGCAACGGTGGTTTAAACGTATCTTTCACCAAGGGACTGGCACTGTATAAAATGTAAAACATAAAGAGGATTCAAAGTAAAGTAACCACATCATGACTGAAATTAAAAGAACAGATATTTGGAGTATGCAACAACATTATGGATCTGGCTATAATTTCATGGGTGGTTATCAACATTTCAGAGCAATCTGTTGCCTCCATCTTTGAGGCTGGAGATGGGGACAGTAGGTTACAAAACTATAGTATCATAATCCAGACGACAACAGTCTTCTATATCAACACTCTGAGAGCCTGGAATCCCATTTGGCATAAATCTCTCTCGAAGGTGTGCAATGTAATTCTGACAATTCGCCGAACGATAAACAATGTAAGTTCTGAGGTTTTCACAGCGATTACTATGAAGAAAGTCGTCTTCTGGGATCTGGCGCTGTGTATTCTTTATTTCAGAATACACAGTGCCAGATCGCAGAAGACGACTTTCTTGATAAACAGTGTAATTCGTTGCTACAAAGAAATGTATGAAGACAAAAGGCCAAAGAAGAAAAATGTGCAGATATCAATATTGCAATTTTAGAGAATAAAAAACGAATTGCAAAAAACCTGTTTTTTTAAATTATTGAATTTGAATTATTGAATTATGACATTTGAATTTATTAAAAAAACGGAGATTTTTTTTGAACCAATTATCATTTTTTGTATGTATTTAGTTCCTGATTAGTCCGGTTTCAAACAGTCCGGGATATTGGCGGAACCGATTACCCAGACTATGCGAGGTATTGCTGTACCAGGCCGTGAAGGCCCATAGGGTTGTGAGATGTTGAGGGTCCCACACTATCTAGACAATCAGCTCAAAGATGGCAGAATGGTTGTCAGCCTTATGCGCTGGCCGTGCTTTACTCCCCAGGAAAATTATTTAATTAATTCCCTGGTACTCATTTCTGTTAGAGGCTGAGTAAACCCCAGGGCCTAGTGCGGCCGGAAGGATTAGGTCAACCGAAAAAATCCAATGACCTCATTGGGAACTGTCCTACATACTAACGAGAATAATCAGTTTAATTAAATGAAAAATTAATTACAGATGACAAACCAATATTTTACACCACTGGGTACCAAAACTTCAAACTTTCTAAAAAGAGATCTGTACTTCTCATCTGGATTATCCTGTGAAAAAAGTTGTACACGTCCCCACACTACATGAAAAGTAATAAATATCAGTGTACGCTGTGACTAATGATGACAGTGGTCTTACTAATCCCCAACACTAGTACTAACAACACAATTGCATCAGCAGTTGCAACATTATCATTTTTTGGATATTACCTCTGACAATTATACATGATTTTATTGCCTTACCTGTGGACAGACACTGCACTACAGACAGGTGTTGTTGAAGATGCTGCATTGTCTGTGGGTTCAGGAAAGATTTGTTTCTGGTGCTGTTGCAAAGAACTGTCTTCATTCTCTCCACTTCCCTTGCAATCAACTCCCTTTGCCCCTGGTAACATACATGTCCTATGCAACAGTTTTCCTGTGCTAGAGGATGTATCCATATCCACTACATCTATATCACTATCAGACTTCGCCGATGAAAGTAAATCTCTGATACATGTGGAGTCAGGTTCAGTAACGGCCAGGAGTGGACTATGCTTTGAGCTTTGTTGTTTCACTTCTCCTTCCTCTATATCACACTCTTTTCCTACATTTTTTGGAGTCTCATGAACTGAAATGTTCTGATGTGTCACATGCGCAACATTCTGCACACTGAATGACTGTTTACGTCTTGACACCATCCTTCTTAAATCAGTTCCAACATCATCTCCTACTGAATGCTGTGCAGCATCTTCACTTTCACTACATGATTTGCTGTCTTTCATTTCTGTATGAAACTTTTCTTCACATAAAAAAGTGTGTGATTTCTCCATATCAGTTGCAGTGTTTTGCTCTTCATCACCAATTTCAGTTACTGAAGCTGAAGTGGAAGATCTTGTACTGGCTGAAGACACTCTATTCCCAGTTATGTTTATAAGAGAAGTCTTTACATTTACTGCTGTACTTGCTTTGTCTTCTGATCTAGCTGTGTATAACCACATGCCTCGACACATTCTTCCATCTTCTGGAGCACGTGCTACACTATCATACATCTGCTCCATCTTCATGTTGAGGACTGCCTCATTCCCACCAGATTCCAATAAAGCAGTGATACCCTCATCAGTATCAGCTAAAGAATCATGCTGAGGATCTAAGTACATTGTATTTACCAATCTGCCATTTATAATCTTGATAGCACCTACACCAGCATCTTCTCTGAGTCCATAGGGACCAATGAAAACTCTAGTGTAGAGGTTTGGAACAGTATACACACCAAATTTTGGCTGAGTAGCACTAGCAATCTGGTGCTTGTCACTGGACACAGAAGTATTCTTGCCATCGATTCCTTTTGAAAGCCGTTTCTCAAGAGGTACACGGACAGTTTTACCATGACTGTTAGCCAAGTAGACAGCTCGGATCAGCTGTGCATATCTAATAATACATTTACTACGGGAAAGATGCAGCAAATCAAAACGATTTCTTATGTTTAACATGTACCAACGGGCAGGATCACATCCTGTTGGCAGTGGAACTTCAACTCCTGAACTCTGAATTTTGCCAGAATTACAGCTATTATTAGACAATCTGACAGATAATGTACCAATACGAGAAGTGAGAGACTGTTCCAAAATAGATTGTTGATTAGTGGTAACCTCTGTTTTTTCTGAAATAAAGGATTTTTGTTTTGGGCCTATCACAGTTATTTCCTCACAGCCGCCATCCTTCAGGTCACTACTCTGGATCTGTCCTTGGGAATCTATAACCTTCAGATCGCAATTTCCGCATTCTGATTCTGAATGTAAGGAAAAATTCTTTCTTGAAACAGGAGACTCATGAACTAGAACTGATTCTCTTCCCGCAGAGTATGCATTTGTAGTAACAGATTTCTGATCTGCATCATTCTTTACAGTCTTGCCATTATTACGAGCACTATCCGAAGTTAATTTGCTGTCACAAACCGCAATGACATCTTCACTAGAAACTTTATCAGTATTTGTCAGATCTGCACCAGCTCCTATTGTTCCCACACTGTGAGACTGCACCAACTGTGGTCCCAATCGTTTCTTCAGATCTAAGAGTACATCGGTAGATCCACAAACGACAGGTCTGTCAAAAAATAGATTCTGTTCTTTTAATGGTAAGTCAGGGTGTGTGTGGCTCTTTCTTATTTGTATATGCTGTTCCACAGTAGCCTCTTGAACTGTTTGTGAACTTTCAACCACACTTTCTTGTGAACTACCAACGCCATCCTGATGTTTCCATAAATCTGTTAATGGCGGGCTGAATGATGCAACTGTGTTCATGTTTATGTTATCATTTCTACTATCTTCATGAAACTTGGTTTCCTTTCTAATTTCTTGTTCCTCTATAATGTAGGATTGCTTTTCTGCTATGTCTTCAGATCTTCCTTTCTGAGAAGATTTACTGAATTTCTGATCTTGCTGATGTCTGGCAGAAGCCTTTTGGTGTCTTGCTTGTTTTGCAGTGTGACTCTGGACTAACTGGTTGCTGCACCATTCAACAATGTGAGTATTTCTCATAAAAGAACCAATTAGCTCCCATCTGTCCCCATCAAATTGTAACAGCCCAAAACAGTTCACATCTTCTGAACTGACACCAGGGGTTCTGTTCTTGATACTCAACTGCTCTATAAGAAAAGTAATAAATGGGGGTAATTTATTGTGGAATTGAGGAGGGGAATCAGAATAAAAATTGCAGAGACTGATGCAATACTGATCAGGTTTATCAGCAGTTCCTGTGATGATAATTTTTGGCACACATGCACGCTTATACTGCAACCACAGATGATATGTTCGGTTCTCTATTTGGTTTATTAGGATGTTCCAACCGATTACCTGGATTGAACCAGTAGTACTTTGGGACAGATTCAGTGGCATGTTACAACTTTCCACTATGTTTCTAAGCTCAGAGTCCTTCCTTGATATCAGCTCTGCTAGTCGTACAGAATAAATATCATGGCCAGTGTCTGGAAAAACAGGAATTAAAACTGATGCCAGTTTCTCATATATTTGATTTTCACAAGAATTTTCTTCAGAATGATGTTCAGAATTGTCTGAACTGTGTCTTTGAGTTTTAGACTTGGTTACATTACTGTTTTCTTCAGAGACATTTCTTTCTGCAGATAATACTCCTGTTAACTGACCTTCAGTATTTAGAACCATGTCCATGTTGCAGGATCCTTCAGCCTCATGTTCTGTCTGGTCCTCTGATCCACATTTCTCAAATTCTTCTGGTTTGAGAGACACGATGCTTACAATTTTGCCAAAGCCAACTTCCTCATTACCATCTCCAGTATCAGAATCAATGGGCATCATTTCCTGTTCATTTAGCAAACCACAGTCAGCCTGCATCACAATATCACCTGGGGGCCTGATTATATTTACAGGCTCAGTCATTTGGAAAGGTGCGCAAAAAGCATTGTTTACATTGCATTTAGTCTCAGACTCTTGAAGACCAATTCTCTCATGGCGCCATTTAAAGAAATGTGATTGGTTGCGAAGAACATAGTTTATAGTAGAGCCAACTGTACGAGCAGAATGGCAGTTCACATTATGAGCATGATAAAAGTTTGCTTGACTTGTGCTCTTCACTGCCACATTTCTAGACACACGGTTTTGATGTTTCACAAAATCCACGTTTGTTGCAGTAGAGTCAAGAGGTGGACCTGGAACTGGTGGAGGTCTCTCTATAGATTGGTAGGGCATTCTCATAAATGACTTTGCGCTCTGTCTAAAACAAAAGCAGTCATATCTCAAGTGAACCATACACCATGGTACAACATTTTCTAAACCTTCTGTTTTTTCAATACGAACTCTACATGGCTTCACCTTGAAGCGTTTACACCAAAGCGATACCTTCTGCTCAAGGGTTAATTTTCCCTTTGTGGACTTGTGGAGTGGTTTTGTGATACTCATTGATGCTGACTTTGGCACTCCTACCTCTATATAATTTGGTAAATACAACTGCCGCTCACTGCGTCTTGTGTTGTGATTACTAGACACAGCCGGTGTGCTATTTATATCCTCGCCTGTAATCATCTTGAATTCAGCCATTGCAAACTCTTTACCAAGAACAACAGAAGAGTCCCTGTATCTTTCAGGCAACTTTATCTCCCTGCGACGCCTTCCTCCATCACCACTACTGCTGCCTCGTATGACAATCACCTCATTCTTTGATTGTATCACTGTATGCCTGAATTCCTTCTCTACTTTTGCCAGGTGCCTGTTTTCCTCATCTTGCAAACGTATAGCTGTACAGTACAGGAGCGAAGGCTTTTCTGCATTAGAATTGCTATTTGACTGAGTAGTGGAGAGTTCTTGACAAGAACATTCAAACATGCATTCTAAGTTGCCACAATGATTAGACAATGTTGCAGATGGCTGGCTTGTTTGAAGACTAGCACACACACAACCCAATCGACAGAAATCCTTTTCACAGGAAGTACCTCCATATATCTTCTCAATACAACCATTTCTATCTTCTCCCATGACAATAACGTTCACATCCAATCGATTTAGTTCTCGGTACACTTTATTCTTCATGTATTTGCCAATAACCTTCTTCTGACACTTTGGAGTTATCATTGTAACTGTACTGGATTCATCAGGATCATCTTGTATGACTGTATCCTCCACTTCATGAACTAAAACACAATCTATCATCTCTTTAAGAATGTTTTTGACTTCAAGTAGCACCTCATCACAGGGTACAAAACTAAGAGTTGATGAAACATTCTCATCTGCTTTACTGCTCCCAGGATCCACACATGTAGCCTCTAGGTCTGTCTCTGCCACAGTTACTAAACTATCAGCATTTATGATCTTTGGATTTTGTTTGAATAATTCTGTCTCTGGAGATATTTGTATTCTTTTGAAGGATGAGAAACTTGAATCAGAGTCTTTGGGAATTTCAGTATTTAAGAGTGCACTTTCAGAATGTGATGGAGAAACCTCATCTTCTTTGTGTGGACTAATCTTGAAATCCTTAAAGGGAGGTATACATTTTACTGGAATCACATGTGTTTCAGTGTGATCATGATTATTAATATTCTTGCGTGACGTCACAACAGAAACAGAAAATTCGGCCCATTTCCTGTCTATACAAACCTCAGTACTTCTCATTTGCATAAGTTGTTTAACGGCAAGTGGATGTAACGGATGACCTATACCTGGATATACCAGAACTCCATATTCATATGGATCTGCTGAAATATCTGGTGGAGATGGTGGTAACTTCTCAGAAGTTGTTAAATCATTCACAGTGATATTCTGTTCACTTGTTTCATCACATGATTTTGTATCACTGACAGCTTCACTTTCTTTCTGTGTAATATCAGATGGATCCTGTTGCATTTCTGACTGAGCAGATAAAGACAAAAAACCTTCATTAAGAGCAGGTTCCCTGTTAACTTTACTACCAGTAATTCGTATAGGTCTCTTTCCAATCCAAGTGTACTTATAATCATGATCCAGAATGAAACTGTTTTGTTCCAAACCTTTTTTCTGTGGTGTGGAGGGTAGCCATTTCACAGTAGAAGGCTTTTTAGTATCAGAATTTTTTGTACATTTTGTAGGTGCCACTGATTCAGTTTGAGGACGCAACCTCGGCCTTCCTCGCTGAGGTCGTTTCTGCCCTTTTATGGATTCAGCTTCGAGCATTTCCATTTCTAACATTTTTCGTTTTTCTGCCAAAGTCTTGGGTTTTGGCCCAGTCTTTCTTGGTACACATGGCTTTTCTGAAACTGTATGCAGGAGTTTGGGAGGTGAAGGAAATATAAATTTGTCTGTCTCATATTCTGGATGGTGAGTTATTCCTTCTTCTGCACCCAACTTAGGGATTTCATAGCTAACATTGAGCTGAGAATGGGTTGAAAGATAGTTATCTAATACATCACTTACAAAAGCAGATTTGGAATTATTAGTCTCGCTAACATTTGCCTGAAGATGTTTCAGCAGTTCAACTGCCTTAGGCTGGAAAACAGCTCCATAACTCAACATCACATCTTCTTTCACCAAGTTGGGTTTCTGTTTCCCACAACTACCACTACTAGTCCTAGCCTCTGTTGCTCGACTTTCTGCATCTTTAACAGTTGTACATACGTCTGTATCATTATATTTGGTGTCTTCAGAATACCAGTGGTTTTGTTGATCTTCTTCTGTGTTTGTTTCATCTGTTGTTTTAACATCACAGCTTTCAAAGCCATCATCATCTTCATACGCCTCACTGCTGAAACTACCACAATAATGGGATGGATTGTCATTAACAGCAAACTGTTTGTTCCTCCAGCCTTTAATTTTTGTAATGTCATTAGTCTTAGTAGGGACAATGGCTTGGTGCATATACTGCAAATCCACATCACCACAAAGTGGAAAAGTATCATCCATCATATCCAGCCCATCATCACTCTGAATCATTCCATCATCTACAGATGAGCCATGACAAAAATCCTGCTGAATTTTAGTAAACTCAACCATGTCATGCTCTGTCTCAAATGACAACATTTCAATTCCATCAATTATGTCCCGTTCCTCTTTTCCTGTACTAACACGCTTTGGTAATGTAAAAATATAATCATCATAATCTTCATCACCCTCTACTACAGGCCACTTGTTAGGATCCTGAGTCACATACACATTAGGATCAATGTCATCAGGTGGTTCTTGTGCAACATCACATCCAGCAAGTAAATCTCTGCCAAAACTGTCAACCATCATTCTTGCACATGTAACATCTGACTGATAATTTACACCCTTTTCAGAGCTGTGACTACTGTTCAGCTTAGATGTGCCATTAAAATTTGAGTTCCCCATGCCATAAGTGAAGATACTGTCACTTGAAGATCCTGCTACCATAACACAAGATGTCTCTCTTTTATCACCCTTTACTGTTTGCTTGCAGGTAATTAAATCAGACTCTGAAGTCTTTGGCATACCTTCCTTGAAGTCTTCGCATTTATTAATCTTCATTTCCGTTAAACCAAGACTGCCCTTCCGAGAGAAAACTTTTTTGTGACCTTCAAGTAATGAGCAATCTGCAGTCTGCAATTTTATATTTTGCTGTTTCTTTTTCACCTCTTGAGTGTTACTTTCACATGAATCACATTCATAAATGTTTCCTTCTTGCTTTCTACAACACTGCTTCATTCTGTTACTTTCACTCACAGCACTGGTAGTAAATTCAGCATTATGTCCCTGTATTACCGTTCCATCCTTCTTCAATTCCTCATTCAACTCACATGCTGCAATTTCATCACTCGCATATACTTCAGTGTCACAAGCTGTATTTCCTTTACAGTAATATGAACTGGATTCAGCAACTTTATTTGAACCGTGTGCTGTTGACTTGGCATTTTCTGTTGTACCACATTCTTTTTCATCTCCCCCACTTTGCACAAAATTTTGTAGACTGGAAACCCGTTTCTGAAACAAACCTGTAAGTTCTGTTTGTTCAGAAGTTAATACTCTCTTTTGTGTTACTTTTAGTTTATCTTGTACACCTTTCAAATTCTGGCCTTTAGAGTTCTGAGAATCACTGCTTGATTTAATACACACAGATATACTATCTTGTTCCTTGTCACATTTATTAGGAATAGAAGCATTTGAATAGTTTTGAGCTTTTTTTGAGAGGCTATAAACTTCCTCTGCAACCTGTTTGGTATCTTTCTTTGCATCTTCGATAACATTACAGGCCAACAGATTATGATGCAATTCTGTACTTCCATTCTTTGAAGACAATGAAAACCAAGATTCCTTGAAGTTCCTACAGGCCTCATTTCTTTCAGTACATTGCTGTTTCACTGTAGGTTCTGATAAAGCAACCTCATTAACCAAGTACCCTCCTAGTTCACCTTCTGCATCCATAGACTCAAATGAATCTACAGACTCTCCACTTATATCTATACATTCTGTGAAGTTCATTCTATAACTCTCTGAACTTTGGGTGAGAGGTGAATAATTACCTCCTTTTAAAGCTGTAAAACTTTTCTTCTGTGAAACTGTTCTGTTATATTCATTATCTAAATGACTAGGTGATTCTGAGTACTTAGTGATATTACTACCAGCTGTGCTGGTTTCACAAGTCTCAGTTCGTGCAGTATTCACATCAGCACCACACTTTCCTTGAAGTACTGAACTTGTATCAGTATTCTCATCCTTCGATGTCAGAGCTCGAGGACTCCTCCGCATTCGTTCGCTTGCCTTCCTCAGCTTATCTCGTTCCCTCAGCCTTGTTTTGCCCAGTTTCATGTTCAGGAAGAAATTGTAAACAGATTTTTCAATTCCTGTATGTCTGTTATCAGTTTTCACCTCATTCATCCACTTTCCTTGTTTCAATGGACTAAGGCCCAATGACTTACACAATGGATTAATCTTCCTCTTAAGTTTTTCTGCTATTACATATTCTTCATCACATTCAAACTCACTTGAATCATTAAATTCAGTGCACTCCATGTCATCTTTGTTTTGTGGTGAGCTTGAACCAATACTGATGAGCTGAATATCCTTAACTGTTTTGCCTGGAAGGGATTTCTTCAGTTTAGTTGTCATGATACCCTCTGGAAACAAATGTGGTGGACTGCTGCTATCTTCATCTGGGTGAGAAACATGAACATCACTGCAGTAGGGGACAAGTTCTGGAGGCTTGTTGTGACCAGCGGATGAAAATCTTTTCTTCCCCTTTTTTTCATCTGATGATTTACTCTCCTCAATGGTGCCTTCTACTGCTGAACTGCTGTCATCTATGCCAACACTATTTGCATGAAATGATCTTGTTTGGAATTCTCTGCTGACAGCACCCAGGTCCTCAGATAAGTATACTGTCATCACATTTCGTTCATCTGGATTATGTTTTCCAAGCACCATCACGGCTCTGTTGTCCTTGAGGCAGAATCTTCTTTCGAATATTTGAACCTAGACACAACAAGAATCATTTATTCAAAATTAATAAGAATATTTCATCACACTGATACGGCTGCAGGACTCCTAAAACAGCTATAAAGTTTCAGCTTGCTTTTGTAAATTAGGTGTTTTATACACAAGGAAATCAAGATGTTATGTACACTGCTACTCAAACCGCAACATAATTAAACAGTCTGTCAAGTTTGTCCACCTCATCCTCCTTGACTTGAATGCTCAAGTCAAGGAGGATGAGGTGGGCAGGTCGTGTAGCACGAATGGGGGAGACGAATGTGTATAGGATATTGGTGGGAAAGCCAGAAGAGACCACAGGGAAGACCAAGGCATATATGGGTGGACAATATTAGAATGTATCTCAGAGAGATAGGATGGGATGGTATGGATTGGATAGTTCTGGCTCAGGATAGAGACCAATGGAGGGCTCTTGTGAACATGGTAATGAACCTTCGGGTTCCATAAAATGCTGGGAAATTCTTGAGTAGCTGCAGAATTGGCGGCTCCTCAAGAAGAGCTCAGCTCCATGAGTAAGTAAGTAAGTAAGTAAGTCAGGTTATAAACCAAACTATATGCTCTGAACATAACAACAGACACCAAACCACTGGATATCAGCTGACATTAACAACACAGCTCTTATACTTTTCTGGATCATACCGCTGCACTTTCTCATATATAGCACTGAAGGTTTCAGTAAACTGACTCTTGTCTTACCTTCCTCAATATGATATAGCCTTGGAAAAATACTCTACTCCCTTCAAAAGTCATTCATCAATATGGTTAGCACATTCACTGCCAAAACTGACTATATTAGTGAGGGGCTAAAACTGCTAGCATCAACCTAAGATGATTTAGTACAGGTCTCCATTTAATTTAAGCAGAAATGCATTAAATCACATGACTTCATAGAGGTTTATGGATCATGACCGGTATTTCTATCTTTGTTTTACTTCCCCTCCATCTATCCTTACATTTGTGTCATACTTCTATTTTATGTAAGCAATCATGATGCAGCTCATATGTATGATATAACAATTACACGAGGTAACAGCTGATCTCTGGTGCATTTTGTTTGACCTTTATTTGAGTTAGTATGTTCCACCAAAGTACAGAAGAAGAAATTGCAGAAATTATGAATAACAGTGATTCTAAAAATGATTTTATATTAAAAACCAGGGAACGTGGTAGTGTAGTTGGTTGAGGCACTATGCTACAAGCTTACTGCCATCTGTGCACCAACTGTCTAGAGAAAATGTGGGAGCCTCAACGTCACAGAACCCTTTGGGCCCTCATGGCCTCTTACAGGGATAGCTTTACCTTTTACCTATTAAAATCTATCAGAATGATCACTAAAAAATAAAGAAAACGTTTTAGAATCATCAGATGTCTCAGTTCATCCAGTATCTCGACATTTAATAATCTTTCCTCCATCTCAACATTCACATTCTGTCATATCCAAAACCTGACTGAGTACTTGGTACATTTTATAATCCTGACTTTATGCAGCTAATCATCAGCAAAACAACTTTTATTCCAGAGACGAATACCACCAGTGTTCAGAAACAAGGTAAAACACTGCTGAGCAATGGCATCCTGTAACAATTATGCTATCATTTTCATCAGAACAATTACTAAAACAATGTCCAACTTACAGAAATCTACTTAGACAAGAATATCAGAGTGTACAGAGTGTACTGTGACACTATATATATATAACATGCATGCGCACACAACTAAAAATGATATGCAAGTTTGCCTCATTCAAACTCCTGCCAAGAAAGGTGGTATAATATCTGTTAGGACACTGCAGAACGTGTCTCAGCAAGAATATTTTGTGTCCTCTGAATGGAGTTGCTAGCATCCTGAAGGTTGACACAGAACCAAACCCTCAAAATATACCAAATGTAATGAAGTTTTTATTGTTTTCTTTTCTGATGTTTGAAAAATACATTTGTTTCTTTGCACAGTGCAAAACACAAGCTTTATGCTTAAAACCACACTATTTAAAGTGACGCCTGAAGTCAAAAGCTTGCAGTGAATGTGTCAATAACTGTGGCATTTAGAAAGAAAATTCAGTTTCAAGAAAACCGGAAATCTGACGTATGGCTAAATAATATTTTGACATTCTGTCTGTACTTCTCAGAAAACAAACTCTCTTCTACAAAGGCTAACTGGTTAATGCTGTTTAGAGAAATAATCACTGTTTATTTTCATAATTATATGAAATCCCTAAATACACTTCATGGGCAAAGTGCATAGCCATTCATTGTTAAAGCAAATGGTATGCAAGATGATGATTCAAATAATTTTTTATATGATTAACACATTTCCATAACATCCACAGTAAGCAACTGAGTAAAATCACATACATCAGCAGAGAAAAGTTGCTGCAGACTTCCGAAGTGTTAACAAATGAGCTCTGTAGGGTTTCTTTCAGCAGTGGCCTCTTTTATCTCCCTGAAAAATACACACCAAGAACATTCGCTACTGAGCATTTTATAAGTCACAATTCATATAATATCTTCTCATGCATGGTTAAGTATTATTACTACTATAGTTATTGGAATATTCAACTCGATAACTGTGTAACTACTGTTAACATAAATGACTTACTTCGGGCATGTTTGTACATGTAGGGAGGTAGAAAGATGGGTAAAAATACGTACATAGTGAAGAGATTCATAATTTATCTCCTGTGACAGATTCTGCTTTCAGTGTTTACTGATAGTACAAGATAGCTCAAGCAGTAATGCTTCTGATTTGTATTCAGGAAGTGCACAGTATGAATTCTGGCCGGGACAAGGACTATAGTGATTTTTGTTGTTTTTACTCAGTTTCTCCACAAAACTGCCATGACAGTGCTTTAATTAAGCCAAAACCACTTCCTTTTCCACCATTTCTAATGCACTGATCACTATCATCACATTATTTGACACTACATAGTCTTTGAGTTACTGACAGTCTCTCTCAATAAACTACATATAACTATTTCAGAACCTAACGGCTAATAAGGTGGGTGGACCAGAAAGCTCATCTGGACATGATGGGGAAAATGAAAAAATCAGTCCCTGTCAGGAATCAAACGTGTCATCCAACACATAACCAGTAACACCCACTCCCAATGTTACTGGTAAGGGCTCTCGTGTACCTACAGTATCAGACAGTTTGAGCAATATCTAGAATGAAAGTATAAACTATCTTCATGGCGATGTTTGAGGTGTTCCTCTACAAATCTGTAAGCACAACACAGCACTGCAACATAACACAATATGGACCTACAACACCATAATTTGCAACTACTCTTAAACAGTTAGCTTCAAATTAAGAGTTCCACATTGTGTCTGATAATGCACGAATGTACTCACACATACAGCTGGTCTGTTCAAACAATGCAGCTTCTGTCATGACACATGAAGTAGTCTTATCCTTTCAATCCCGAATTTCTTAAGAAATTCTGCACAAAGTAGCATACTTTGCCTGGTACTGTTCTTCAACGTCAAATCAACACTGAACAACCCTTCTTCTACATGTTTGGATTCAGTGATTCGGGGTTTCTAAAACGTTTTATGAACAGCTCTGTTTCATGAAATCTGAGTGGTATCAATATCCGGGGCTTCCGGTACATGATGCCATGTAGACTGGAAGATGAGTAAAAGTGTTTCAGGGTGCAATAAAGATGGAGACAGCACATTCCTCTGACACATGGCACTTCCTGACCAAACCACATGGCATAATTTTCAGTAAGTCCATAATCTTGAGTTCTGCTTTAATCAAAGAGAATAGCCTCTAACACATTAAAAGTGATAAATACAAATATGAAATATGAATACATAAGATTTTCAGGATCACATAAATGATAAATGTGACAAATACAAATGATTTCAAATCACAGTAGCTGAAGACAATAACCTATATTTTCATGTAAGAAAGAAGGTAAAGCTATCCCTATAACAGGCTCTGGAGGCCCATAGGGTTGTATGACATCGAGGCTCCCACATCTTCTAGACAATAGGCTCACAGACGGCAGTAAGGTTGTCAGCCTTACGCACCAGACGCCCTTTAACCCACAGGATGATGCCTGGTACTCATTTCTGTTAGAGGCTGAGTCAACCCCAGGGCCATGGTGTGGCTGGATGGGTTAGGTAAATTGAAAAAGAAGGGAAAAAAAGTCCAATGACATTGGGAATAGAACCCGCAACCTTCTGGCTTGTAGCACAGTGGCTCCCCCCCATATCTTTCTGCAGTTTACTTAATGAGGATGATAGCAGCTCAAGACTAATAGCATCAAATGGTATTCTGATAGTCAATAAAGAGTTGTAAGGGATGTGGAGTGAGTGACAATTGCCTGATTTAAGGTACTATTTTGGAATCTGCCTGGAGAGACCATGAAAAAGAATGAGTCCGGATAGTTCGTGCTCAAGATTCAAACTTGGCTCCTACTGAATTTGAAGCAAAGCATTACTGATTGAGTCAACTTGCTCAATCATCGGTGATAGGTATTTCACAGAATTACAAATGCTGAGTGACCACGGATGAATTAATATTAAATTAGGCAAGATTTAAGAATCTGTAGTCAGTAATTATATTTTGGCCGAAATAGCAAAATTCAAAACAAGAAGTGACACTAATAAGATATGAAGTCACCATCTCAGTATATTGAATGTATTTGATTATGGCAATTACATACTATTAACACGTGGCATATTTATGTCATAAATGATTATCTTCAAAAGTATATTTGGAAGTATTTAATTATATGAGCTCTTATGTGGAAATTTTACTTTTATGCAGTATACCACATGACGTCAATAAAAAAAATAAACATTCAGAATGAAGACAGTTGTAAGAGATACAAAGAAAGAAACAGAATACCCGAAGGTTTCCAAATATTTTGTTGCACCTAGTACCAGAATGGAAAGATATGTAAAACTGTCACCTACTGAAGAAAATACAATTTAATTCAGAAGAAAACCAGTCTTTCCACCATATCACAATATCAATGTTGTTCAACAGTGTTTGCTGATGGAACCATGAGGACTGAAATAAGATATGTGATATACCATCTAACTAAGCAGCCTCCGTAGTCTAGGGGTAATGTTCCCACCTCATGACTCAAAGTACGCGGGTTCAAACCCGGCAGAGGTTGTGGAATTTTAAGGGCAGAAAAATTCAGGGAACAAGTCCTCCGGGAGGGACTTTAAGCCGTGTGTCCCGTGTCGTAGATTTACGGCACATAAAAGAACCTCATGTCTTTAGGAGACCTCTGAGCTAAATTACAGGCCCTTTTCCGCCCAAGTAGTCTGCAATGCCTCTGGTGGATGGGGGAAGCATCAAGGTACCGGGGGCCGACCTCGTTGGCTCTACGGGGGCTGATGGCACACACCGTTACCGGGTTACCGGTAGGGTATGGCGACAGTAGAAATTAAAAGGGGGACGCACAATGGACCAATAACTGGTCTAAGTGCATGGGGAAACCCACCCCCTCTCATAACACATACATACAATACATACCATCTAACTGCTGCTAACAACATACCAAACGTTTTCGATGTGAAGAATTAGTTAGCAGGGATAAAGCGTTTCTAAGCGTTTCTGAAATGCCATGTGAAAACTCTGTCCATCAGACTGCCACATGGTATTTCGGCAGTTCACAATAAATATCTTTCTAAAGAAAACATGAACAAATTTCTTTAACTTCTAGAAACTACACTAAAGAAAATAAATTTCAACTCAAACTGAATGTACAATTGTGACAAAACTGGAATATGTGTTGTATCACAGTTGTTCCTAAACTCATTTAGTCCAGAGCTCCCTTGATACGAATAAGAATACTTGACAATCCCCTCTCAACCACAACAAAATATCTGAAACGTTATTTTGCATCTTAAAAGTATGATTACCAACGAATCTTAATTTTATCTATGAACTACTTTTCTCTATCATACTGTGGTATGAGAGTACTGGACACTTTTAATTTAAACTAGTCTTTTCTTAGTGCTTTATATACACGATAATTAGCCCATTAACAATTCTGTCAGCCATGGAAGAAAGCTTCAAAGCCCCCTGGGGTGCTGCAACTGCCATTTTGGGAAGAACAAGAAAGTGATCACAAGGAAAGTCAAGAGAGCAGGGACTTCTCTGATATCTGCACAATGTGAATGCCTTGTCACGGCAACAACAGGAATAAATGTAGCAGGTCACTGTATACAACTGCTGCTTGTGTTTCCTCGAAAGATAACTGAGGTTGAAATTATGGGTTCATTTATTCCCGTTACATACTGATATTCTTACAGCACTTCAGGCATATACCAATTACAGAAGATTCCATTCTACTAATATTTGACGGATATTATTGTGATGCCGGAAGCAGCATCATCATCAGCAGTGACTTGAGGCACAGAGCAAATGATGCTCAAGATGGTTCAAGTTCGTATAGCAACAGGCGTGACCAGAGTAGTTTGAACGGCTGCTGAACTGAGATGTGGAAGGTAAATGGAAAAACTACCACATTATCACTTTTCCTGGATAGTCTCAAAAACAGAGATACCATGTATGCGAGCTGTTTCCTCTGGAGACAAAACAAACCGGAGGGGCGGATACAAGTGCCCAGAAGACGAGGAAGAAGACATAAGAAGATGCTGGATGACCTTGGGGACAGAAGAGGATATTTTAATTGAAGGAGAAAGCTTGAGATCGCATCAAGTGGAGGAACTGTTTTGGAAGAGACTGTGGACCTGTCGTCTTGACAGATTACTGATGAATGAATGAATTATTCTCATATGAGAAATCCTGAAGTCATAAAACCTGGAAGAGAAAATAATGTTTCCATTCTTTGTTTGCATCCCCACAGCTCGCATAAAATGCAGCCTTTATACTTACATTCAATGACACTTCAAGAAACATATTATTTACAGAAAATTAAGTCCTGGGTGTTAAATAATTTTCCTTGCATAATCACTATATGCCAAGTTGGGAAGCTGCTCGAGACTTCTTACTTTTGAGCAGCTATTGTTGAAATTGATTGAATGGGTTCAGAAAGGTGGAATCTATCAACCGAACTTCAACATGTTTAGGTGTCATGACTTTGCAATGCAGGTTGAGAATGTGGATTCAAATTCTGAACAAAGTGCTCATAAACCAACTCTGGGTCGAAAAATGACATGTGACTTCCGCTGAACAGGGACAGCCTGGTAATTTTCAATTAAATGAAGCCAGTGCTTCTAACAGATCCACAATGGCACTATTTGGTTCTCCCACAATCTCTTCATATGAGCCAGAAGCAATCACTTCAATCATGCTGACAGCATCAACAATTAAGATAGTTCTTACTGCAATTCTTAATCCACTGTCTTCAATTACAAAGAAGTCACAAATAATGGGAGATCTTCTAGACCTAGGTCAGAAAAGATTATAGCCTCTCCATACAAGGCAAATTAGAGGAAAAAAGGCAGAAAGATGATCCTACTGACAAGGCACAAAACTTAAATGTTGAAGGCCCTTTTGCCTATGATTTATGAACAGAGAAAAAAGGAAAGCACAACCCTCTTCTGCTTGAAAGCACCAACTGAATGGAAAAGACAAGAAAAAGGGCATGAAAACCATCCTTTTCTTCAGCACTGAGAGTGCGAGCTGTTTTTTTGGAGTCAGAAGATGACAGCTGATGCAAAGGAACTGAGGATATGCTGAATATTTATACTGTACAGGATTGTTTTCTGCATTATTACATCCTACATTATTATGAATAATAAAACATTTACTTTCGGCTTTCCCTAATTGCTTTTCTACTCTATGTGTAAGAAACCTGTAGTGGCCCATTACAGGAATCTCCACCTGTTAGGTATTGATTATGTGACTTCATACAATTTGGTTAATATTTAGAGTGAATTCAGACTGATGAACTGATAATCCTTGTGCTTAACACAAGACAGTTCCACTGTGTAACACCTTTTGAATTACACTGAAAGCTGTATCACTACTATGACCAAAAGACAAGTAGTATCCTGCATTAGGCAACTACCTAAAATAGTTAGAATTTGAATATCAACAAAATATTTAAAGAAATGAGTTTGTTTTTTTCTCTATAACTTCTTGGAATGTAATATTTAATTTAAAACCACATACCTCTGTAACAAATTCTATGCATTTCCTAAAAATTTCCACATAAAGACCATTTCTTCATCAAATCCCATGTGTCTTCTAGAAGCTTATAACCCTCACACTCATCTCCGTGTCTACACTTTGATCTGAATAACGAGTCCACGAAAAAAATAAATGCCACAAGCGGACATTGGTATTATTATTTTGGGTTTGCTTATTAATTTCTTCTTTTTCCTCCTCCTCCTCCTCCATCTCCATTTCCACATTAAGTCAAATTTTCACAACAAAATATCTGTACTGAGGCCTAACATATCTATCAGAAGACTTGCATGCCACCAACAGATGTACAGAATGAAAGCAAATAACTTCTTTATTTGAAGTACATCTGTTTATTAATTACAATATGATAGGTATCATAATACCAGTGCACTAATTAATTAAATCAAATGGACAAATGATGCTGGTAATGGAGTCATGTGGGCGTAATACATCTTCCTTCCTCAACAGTCAACAGAAAATGAAAAGGAAACTATTTGTGAAATGTATTTAAGACATATAATGTTAAAAAAGTAAAATCAGTCTATAAGAGTCAGCATCTCCAGGATTTTCATGACTTTTTCCAGTTGAGGAGTTGCTCTCCCCCCATATGAAGTAATATTCTTTGCTATTTCTTTGTCATGGCTCGCCTACATAACCCAGTCATTGAGAAATATTTTCTTATGTGGAAAGGTTCAAATTATATTAGAAAAATATATACTGCATAAAAAATCAACTGCACTATCCACCAAAGGAATTATATGCAATTTAAAAAGCATACAATACCACTTTAATCCATTCAGTATTCAACACACACATGGGTTAGCTGAAATGCAGCACTGTTTGTGCATGTTTAAATACTACTCGCTGAGGGTACTGCGTAACTTGAATTGTAGGGTACAAATTATATGAGAATTACTAAGACATTTTCTACCATCTTAATATAAAGGAGCTTGCCCTTCACAACACATTATTGTTCCATTATATTTCTTTTAACAACAGTGTTAACTTGTACTGTAAATAAAAGGCCCATAAGAACATCAAATCAACATATGAATTGCTCACTTCCTTACTGTACCATAAGATTCATATAAGCAATGCTGCCTGTTTGGTTAACTTCAAGTACCAATACAAGAATGTTTTCTATTTGTACAAGAAATACCACTGATAGTCATACCATCTTATTTTATATATGACTAATTGGGACAATTTGGCATCAGAAATGTCTGAATTATATCAGTGCTTCATTATAAAAAAACTGTAATGCCTAATACTTATGTTTTCCATTCACATAATTAACTTACACCAGAATGTGGAAAAAAGAGCTGCATTACGTGGTTGCCCAATTTGGCACAAATTTCCCACTAGATTATACTTGAGGTCAAGTACCATTAATGCAGTCAACATCCACTCACAGCAGGATTATTCACTTCCAAATACTGATTAAATTACTCCATTACTAAGTCATATTAACATATGGGCATAATTTTGTTTTTATGTTCCAGTTATACCCTTAAATGCAAGATCATAATGTTGGAGGCCTGAATGATAAGACAGAATCAAAACAAATGAAGCCTTATGCTTGTTACTTTTAAGCAACCTGTGGTTATTGCAGGCTTTGAAATGATTGGAAATCCATAACCTGCATATTTTACTTATTTTATTATATACAAATTTAAATTTGAAATCAAATTACGTCCATTGTTGTAACTTCTCGGTACTAAAAAAAAACATGGCCGCTCATACATTGTTCACTTCCAATAATGTTTTACTCGGGTTGCCATGACAGCAACACGTGTAGATGAAACGACGCGCCACAATTAATGAAACACGACAACAATTAATATTTCGAATTAAATTAAAACTCCAATCGCCTCAGAAAGCCAAAAATTACTCTACCATGTGCACTCGTTGGGTGTAACAATTTATAAGTTCTTTTGGGTAAATACTGACCCGTTTTAAGGCCATCAGTGCCCTTGTATGTTTAATCGATAATACTCACCTGATAGCCTAATTTTGTTCTAGCGAAGCACAAACACTACACTGACAAGAAAAACGCCCCCAACGTGTGTCGTCGTGATTTCTTGCACCAATAAAACGAAACCACCATTACGCCACATTATTTTCAACACCGTTGGCCTCGCGACAGTGGAGACCTCTGGTGGGCAGCACAATCAATGATTATTGTTATGAAACGTACACTATATACTGGCTTTGCTGTAGTTAACCGGAAAATAATTTTCTATAGCTTTCCAGTTCACATATTCTACCTACACTAATGCATATTTATCATGAACTGTGCAATCAAAGTTATGTCATGCAGAAAAGGAAACAAGGCTTGCTGATAAAACGGCATCACACATAATGCTTTTCATTATTCAGCGTTCATTTTTCATAGCTTCGTAAATCACGGTTTTGAAACGTAACATAACTGTAGTGTACATTTAATCATAAGTCCATCCACTTTAGAGAAGAAAATTTCAAGCTGTTACAGCGCGAAAGCATTATATGTACCATCGAGCATACACAATACTTCACGCATCGTGCAGCGTCCTTGTTTCTCAACCGTTACCCAGAGTTCCTCAAAAGGTCCGGCCCAGTACACATGCGCAGTCACACAAACAAAGCAAAGGTGCTATATAGAAAGTTCGGGAAAATAGCGGTGCCATCTGGACGTTGAAACTGTAACCATAAATGTATATAGGTTTAAACAGTTGATGCACAGAAATGTAGGATATAACCAATCATTACGTAGTTCAGGCTTCAGCTCTTAAGAAGACATGAGTGGAATATACCGAATAATGTGTGCCGTTCCTGATGTGTTGTAAAAGGGAATAAATCAGAGACTGAACGTTTTTCTCATTCACATAATGCTTCAGAAGTAATGTCACAGATTAACGTAAGAGACCTGAGGGGCGGGCATTCGAATTCCGTCTCATCTAAATTACAGAAAACGTATGCATCATATTTTTGTTTCAGTGCAACACAAACGAGTAAATACGAACAGTTACATTTTGCAAAAAATTAAATATGACGAACGATGTGGTCCACATCTCTTGGTAGGGTAGCCCACTATTATTTGCAGAAGAGTTACATGTATTTGCAATAAAATCATGATAAAAAGGGATTCGGTAATGCTGGTTTACACTGATATTACATCATCTTTAATTTCTACAGACAATAAACAGGTGGTCCGTGTAGGACCCGTCCTAATGAAGACCTGTTTTCTAACTTCAAGGACCCAAAGATGGTTGAAATGTTTCAATTATGGAGTGTAGCTCACTTGTCCTTTAGCCTCATGGAACAGTTTTCCAAGCTCTAATCTAAACTGTCGTTATCTTCGTAAATTATATAATTAATTAATTGGTAAGGTAAGAGGAAAAGTAATTTCTGGGCCCAATGAATTAAGCACCACACCACAAAGAAGTATGAGGGAGTGTAATTATAGCTCCATCATTATTAGCCTCGGTACTACAAGATTGAGCTGAGTTGTCAATTTCATTCACCTACCGCTCTATCCCCCGGGGAAACAAACCCCCCAGTACTCATTCTACAGAAGGTTGAGAGGGCCGTAGAGTCGGTTTGCACGTTGCCTCTACCGGGAATCGACCCCCGACTCCTCTGTCATCCACATCATAGTCTAGCCTCCATATCAAATGAGCTATCCCAGCTTCCATTGTGCCTAAGTTAAGTGGTGCAAGTTATGCAGTCAGATCTATATTACATATCAGCCACACTGGCACTCTCAAATAAATTCATTTTATATGCTTTTTACCATATAATAAAATAAAGAAAAATTTTCTGGGAAAATTCATCTAACAGTAAGAAGACATTTATATTACAAAAGAGAATTTTTAACAGCATGCCAAGTGTCAAACTTAGATATTCATATAGAAATATGAGACGACCCTCTTCTATGTGAATATACATTTTCATTAATGAAATTCACTGTAGATAATAAGGAACATTTTCTGGCCAAACCAGCTGTACACAGTGTTAACAACATCACTGTAAATAGGCTATAACTGCCTGTAGCTGAACAGCTGCATGGACTCTAGGAACAATTTTTTGGCACTTGTGATAATTTTAAGATATTTATAATAATCTGTTAATTATTCGCTGATAATCGTAAATTGTGAAAATAAATCTAGGGTTGCCATGGCAAAAGCTGCATTTAGCAAGAAGAAGAATCTTTTTACCAGCAAACTGGGCTTAAATCGGAGGAAGAAACTAGTGAAATGCTACATTTGGAGCATGGCTTTGTATGGGGATGAAACATGGACACTTAGGGCAGTAGATCAGAAACACCTGGAAAGCTTCGAAATGTGGTGCTGGAGAAGGATGGAGAAGATCAGTTGGACCGATTATGTGAGAAATGAAGAAGCGTTAATTAGAGTCAGTGAGCAGAGGAATATCCTACACGAAATAAGAAAACGGAAGGCTAATTGGATTGGTCATGTTTTACGCAGAAACTGCCTTCTAAAAGAAGTTATTGAAGGAAAGATAGAGGGGCGGATAGAAGTGACCAGAAGACGAGGAAGAAGATGTAAGAAGATGCTGGATGACCTTGGGGACAGAAGAGGATATTCTCATTTGAAGGAGAAAGCTCTAGATCGCATTAAGTGGAGGAACTGTTTTGGAAGAGACTGTGGACCTGTCGTCTTGACAGATTACTGATGAATGAATGCATCGTAAATCACGTGATAATTTCTGATAAATAAACCCACTCTATGTCCAGAGCTGTGGAGTTTGTTTAAATTGTGTTCATGTAAAATTAATACAAGGTTGCGGGTGTAAATAGCGGTCACGTATTCTACAGCCAGATACGCATGCGCGAATTCTGCTGTAACATAACAATGTAACGCAACAGGAGTACGACTTACACGTTACGACATTTAAGAGTGTACGAAAGGGCGAACGTTCTGAGGAATAGGTTGCACATTCATGCGCAGATATTGGTCGGAACATGTCAACTTTATAGATAGCTAGTGCAGCGTTTATATTCGTAAATCGTCTGGACGTTGTGAAGAGTAAATCTGCCGGGATTCGAACCCCGGCCGTCCAGCCCCTTAGCCCGTCGCTATACCGACATTAGTTAGTTAGTTATTAGAGAGGGTGGGTTTCCCCATGCACTTAGACCTGTATTGGTCCATTGTGCTTCCCTCTATGATTTCTACCAGCCTCTATATCCTCCCGGTATTGGTGCTTACCATCAGTCCCGCCCAACCAGCGAGACCGGCTCTACTGGCTGAGAAGTATCTATAATGCCTCCCCCATCTACCGGAGGTATTAGTGACTGCTGTTGGGCGGCAAACGTCCGCAATTTTGCTCAGTGACCTTCTTAGGAGATATGAGGTTCTTTTACATGCCGTAAAGCTACGACACGGGACCCACGGCTTAAAGTCCCTCCCGGAGGACTTGTTCCTTGAATTTTTCCGCCCTTAAAAATTCGACGACCTCCGCCGGGTATTTGATCCCGCGTACTACGAGTCATGAGGTGGGAACGTTACCTCTAGACTACGGAGGCCGCTATACCGACATTAGCGCACAACACTAAAAATTTACTCGTATGGCACCAGGAAATTCTAACTTCTTTATTAATTTAAAAAGTCCGAAAATTGCGAAGGATACAGCACAGAGCTGGAATTCAGTTCTCAACTGGCGAACGTGCGCAGAAACACGTACACATATACTTAGATGGTGTAATTTAACATCCTTTGATGTCGGCTGGAAAACCGACGCTAGCGTGGATCGAACGCGCCGAGAACCGAACAAGCGTGATGATACAGTAACACCGTACACACTTGTTACATTTTGCCGTTACGTTATGACATGATCCGTTAAGGTTTAGTTCCTAAGATACGGCGTTCTGGAGACTGCCTGGATATAGGAGTAGTTACGTAGATACGTAGAGTTCAATGATTTCCATTCGCATTTTTCTTTGGCTTTACACAGTACCCGCTATAAATTAAATTGGTCGGCGACCCCATACATAGAACACAGGCCCGTGGCCGAATTTCGTTGTAATGCTATTAAAAACTCATACTTTAAGAACATTTAACAGAATATGTATCCGAACATAAATGTTAAAATTTGACCATATAAATTCTAAATTAGGCGAATTATGTCTTCATTACAGCATAAAATTGGACGAAAAATTAAAATAAACTTTAAAGTAGTACTACTTCTACAATGGACTCTAATCTGTCTCAATTTTTATTCGAAAACTCCATGCATCTGGGGCAAGATTAAGATTTTGCAAGACCCTAAGTTGTCATAAAGTTAAGATCCTTACACTGAAAAGGTCTAGATCCAGTTGATAGCTGAAAATTTAATTATAAACCGGATCTGAGAATGAGACACATGCGCCGTAACATCGTATCCTAGACAGCAATTCACTTGCTGGAAATAAATATCTGTTGACAGGAACATAGTGAGTATGTCTTCCTTCAGTCTAATCGGGCGATAAGGATTTAGCCATTTGGTACGTTCTGAATTTTTTCAAGAGAATGTTGTGTTTGTCTCGCGATTTTCTACAGTATTTGGAGGACCTCCAGGCTGCGCGGCTCTAAGATGCAGCTTATTTAGCTTGTACACAAAAAGCGGCACTGTACGCTTCCATATTCTCCCTAAACTTCGCCCCCAAGAACACGAATACTGACTCCATGCGAACATCTAAGCGGGGAAAGTTTTCGGCAGTCGGCCCTACTTCCGTCTTGAGGTGATTGGTTCCCGTTATGTTTTAAGATTAAAGACAACTGTCGATCCCGGTGCATTTTGAATGAAAGGTTAGTGCGCTAATCGCTGAGATAATGCGGGGAGTGAGTGTGTAATAATACTGCCATAATGAAAATACTGTCACAAACCTTCAAGTAATCTAACGGATATACACAATAACAACACAACATTAAACTTCATTTAACATTCCGCGAATTAGAAACACGGCGATTGAGAACCCTTTTGATGTCGTGATTTAAGTTTCTAGTACTGACACGTCATCTTCATATATTTCAAGGCAGGGTTCTATTGACCTGGTCTATCTCAAAGACTATTCGGCACTGAAATATAATTATCCATATTCTTAAGACCCACAGAAATTAATCACTAAATTACATGTGTAAAGCTAAAGTTGTTCCCGTGCCTAATTAAATAGACACACGCC